CAACTCTGTTTGGTCTCCTCCTTTATGGATCGGGGTGACAGTATCATCAGCAAAAAGTAACTGTGTCACTTCCCATTTTGTACAGTATTTAATTCCCCATAATTTAATCCCACCCCCTCTTCCGAACACCCTAGCATTTACTTCTTTTACAACCCCATCTATAAATATATTAAACAACCATGGTGACATTACACATCCCTGTCTAAGACCTACTTTTACCAGGAAGTAGTCTCCCTCTCTTCTACACACCCTAACCTGAGCCTCACTATCCTCACAAAAACTCTTTACAGCATTTAGTAACTTACCACCTATTCCATATACTTGCAACATCTGCCACATTGCTCCCCTATCCACTCTATCATATGCCTTTTCTAAATCCATAAATGCAATAAAAACTTCCCTACCGTTATCTAAATACTGTTCACATATATGCTTCAATGTAAACATTTGATCTACACATCCCCTACCCACTCTGAAACCTCTTTGCTCATCCGCAATCCTACATTCTGTCTTACCTCTAGTTCTTTCAATAATAACCCTACCGTACACTTTTCCTGGTATACTCAATAAACTTATTCCTCTATAATTTTTACAATCTCTTCTGTCCCTCTTCCCTTTATATAAAGGGACTATACATGCTCTCTGCCAATCCCTAGGTACCTTCCCCTCTTTCATACATTTATTAAACAAAAGTACCAACCACTCCAACACTATATCCCCCCCTGCTTTTAACATTTCTGTCATGATCCCGTCAGTTCCAGCTGCTTTACCCGCTTTCATTCTATGTAATGCCTCACGTACCTCCCCCACACTTACATTCTGCTCTTCTTCTCTCCTAAAAGATGGTATACCTCCCTGGCCAGTGCATGAAATTACCGCCTCCCTTTGTTCCTCAACATTTAAAAGTTCCTCAAAATATTCTCATCATCTACCTAATACCTTCCTCTCCCCATCTACTAACTCCCCTACTCTGTTTTTAACTGACAAATCCATACGTTCCCTAGGCTTTCTTAACTTGTTTAACTCCCTCCAAAATTTTTTCTTATTTTCATTAAAATTTCTTGACAGTGCCTCTCCCACTCTATCATCTGCTCTCCTTTTGCACTCTCTCACCACTCTTTTCACCTTTCTTTTACTCTCCATATACTCTGCTCTTCTTATAACATTTCTGCTTTGTAAAAACCTCTCATAAACTAACTTTTTCTCTTTTATCACACCCTTTACTTCATCATTCCACCTATCACTCTTTCCTCCTGCCCCCACCCTCCTATAACCACAAACTTCTGCCCCACATTCTAATACTGCATTTTTAAAACTCATCCAACCCTCTTCAACCCCCCCACTACTCATCTTTGCACTAGCCCACCTTTCTGCCAATAGTCGCTTATATCTCACCCGAACTTCCTCCTCCCTTAGTTTATACACTTTCACTTCCCTCCTACTTGTTGTCTCCACCTTCCTCTTGTCCCATCTACCTCTTACTCTAACTGTAGCTACAACTAAATAATGATCCGATATATCAGTTGCCCCTCTATAAACATGTATATCCTGGAACCTACCCATTAACCTTTTATCTACCAATACATAATCTAATAAACTACTTTCATTATGTGCTACATCATACCTTGTATATTTATTTATCCTCTTTTTCATAAAATATGTATTACTTATTACCAAATCTCTTTCTACACAGCTCAATTAAAGGGTCCCCATTTACATTTACCCCTGGCACCCCAAATTTACCTACTACTCCCTCCACAACATTTTTACCCACTTTAGCATTGAAATCCCCAACCACAAGTACTCTCACACTTGGTTCAAAACTCCCCACGCATTCACTCAACATATCCCAAAATCTCTCTCTCTCCTCTACACTTCTCTCTTCTCCAGGTGCATATACACTTACTGTAACCCACTTTTCACATCCAACCTTTATTTTACTCCACATAATCCTTGAATTAATGCATTTATAGTCCCTCTTTTCCTGCCATATCTTATCCTTCAACATTATTGCTACTCCTTCTTTAGCTCTAACTCTATTTGAAACCCCTGACCTAATCCCATTTATTCCTCTCCACTGAAACTCTCCCACCCCCTTTAGCTTTGTGTCACTTAAAGCCGGGACATCCAGCTTCTTCTCATTCATAACATCCACAATCATCTCTTTCTTATCATTTGCACAACATCCACACACATTCAGACTTCCCACTTTGACAATTTTCTTCTTATTCTTTTTAGTAATTATTACAGGAAAAGGGGTTAGTAGCCCTTCGTTTCCGGCATTTCAGTTGACTTTTACAACATACATGGCTTATGGAGGAAAGATTCTTATTCCACTTCCCCATGGATATAAAAGGAAAGTAACAAGACACACAAATAACCCACACATAAAAGAGAGAAGCTTACGACGACGTTTCGGTCCGGCTTGGACCATTGACAAAGTCACACTAACAAGAGGTGGAGCAGGACGGCTATATATAGGCAGGAAGAGGTGGTGGTAGTAGTAGTAGTACAAGAATTGTATATAATACCGACAAGATGAAACCGAAACGTCGTCGTAAGCTTCTCTCTTTTATGTGCGGGTTATTTGTGTATTGTTCCAGTCACGGTATTGTGCCTTTTTTGTTATTTAAAGTAACAAGACCAAGAACTATTAAGATTAAATCAAAGAAAACTCAGATAAGTGTGTATAAATAAACGTGTACATGTATGTGTAGTGTGACCTAAGTGTAAGTAGAAGTAGCAAGACATACCTGTAATCTTGCGTACTATTTATGAGACAGACAAAGAAATGGAAATGTATCACCTGTAAATCAACTTGTATTAAACAGTGGTCTAACAGTGAAATGATTTATAGGAGGATGTAGAGTGTTGCAGTCACTGAACTCACTGGATATAATCAGTAGTGTAACAGTGGAATGGTTTACAAGAGGTGAGAGTGAGTGCTGCAGTCACTCGATACTTTAAAACACTTTATGATAGACTAAATATTCCAAAAACAGAAGACTATGAGCATTGCTCTGCTTTTGTAGCTACATACAGGTAATTACCAAGATAGACTGAGACCTTAACCCTTTCAGGGTTTCTGACGTACTAGTGTGGCTTACGCAACAGGGTTTTTGATGTACTAGTACGCCTAAATTCTAGCGCCCTCAAATCTAGTGAGAGAAAGCTGGTAGCCTACATATGAAAGAATGGTCTATGTGGTCAGTGTGCGCAGTATAAAAAAAATCCTGCAGCACAGTGTGTAATGAGAGAAAAAAGCTTTGACGGTGTTTTTGGATTAAAACAGCGAATTTGCACTGTATTTTCGTATGGTATTTATGCTTTTATTCTAGTTTTCCTGGTCTCATTTTATAGAATGGAAGACATTATTACAGAAATTTAGATTGAGCTCAAAGTAGCAGAAATGTTCGATTTTTACCAAAGTTCAAAAGTAAACAAATTGTGCCAAGCGTCCAATACACGTCAACTGGTGAGTCTAATATTCTTTCACAAGTGCGCTGATATTATTTATACCATTTCTACACTAATGCAGTAGTCTGCATAACAGTAAATCTTCTATTTTTTGTAAGAATAAAAATTCAAAGTGGAAAGCAAAAGAAATATAAGAGGGGCCTGGGGATGTGACTAATGAACAGAGAACTTGTTATTTTAGTGCCAGGAATGTCTTTCTTGTTTATTATGGACCCTATTTGGAAATTGGCATCTTCTGAAATTTGTGTGAAATTGGCAAAATTGCCAATTTCTAACCACTTTCTTGGATAGTTGAAATCGGTAAATGGGTGGTTTCTTGTACTCATTCGATAGAAAAAAATGGAGTTCTAGTGACATAGTTATGATTTTTGTCGACTAGTACACTGGAATTGGCCGAAAATAGGGCTCAAAGCGGGCAAAATCGCCAATGCGCAAACATCGTCGAGACCGCTAATTTTGCAAGAGCATAATTCCGTAAGTTTTCCATCAAATTTCATACTTTTGGTGTCATTATGATCGGTAAAAGATTCTCTGTTTTCATAAGATAAAAAAAGTTTTTTTTTTTTTTGTTTTTTTTTTTTTTAAATTTTGGCGACCCTGAGAACAAGTCTGGGAGAGGGCCTGACGACCCTGAAAGGGTTAAGGGTTGCCATAGCCTGAGCAGGTCTGGTGGCAAGTCATGGCACATTGCCCTAGAATTTTTTATTCTGTACCATTGTTTATTTTTAATATTACAGTAGAGGTTTTGATATTGTACAATTTGAAAAAAATGACCTTTTCTGAAAATGCTTTGGCCCCATTTAACATATAAAAATTTTCTCTGTTCTCTGTACAGTATTATTGAATGGCTTCATATGCTAATATTTGTAAATTGATCTCATTAGGTTTGAATTTCTATCACTGAACTGGCTCTATCCAATCGAAGCCACAAAGGATCTATAATATTTAAAATTTGCATTTCTTCATGAACGTCATGTCAGGTATCACTGTTGCATATAAATGATCTGTGTATTATACATACATTTTTATTTTAGAAAGTTGCTAACATACTGGATGAACAATACAAGTGAAATACATCAAGTGTCTTGCACTATACACAATGATCAGTTAACAGCTTTATAATGCCTAGTTTATTTCACATTTTAAACAGTAATATAAGTAGATATGGTGAAAGTGTTGAACAATGATGAAAGTTTTTTCTTTCTTTTTGAGTCACCCTGCCTTAGTGGGAAACGTCCGACGTGTTAAAACAAAAATATTCAATTTAAACAAATTTCTGTTTCAGTGCAGATATAAAATGTATAATAGGCTGAAATCTATCAACAGTTTACCTAAATATTTGTAATTTGCATTTTTGTTAATATGATTCAGGAGTCCTGGATACTGACAAGTTCATTGAGGGGGATGCACTGTTTAGTGAAGTGATACAGTGTTTTAGTTAAGTGGTACTGTGTTTTAGTTAAGTGATACAGTGTTTAGTGAGGTGATACATTGTTAAATTAAGTGACACAGTGTTTATACAGAATGTGTCACTGTGATAACCTTGCAGGTGATGGAGGAAGCAGCACAACATCTGCTGGGTCGTCATAATTATACCAGTCTGTACAAGAAAGATGCCACTAAGGCATTGAAGTGTCTATATCGGAATGTGTATTCTGTTGCAATTTCTCCCTCATGCTGTGATCTTCGAGCCAAAGATAACAGCAGACCTTTGTGTGATCCGGTTGAATATATAAGAATACATACACAGACTGGAAGTGAGAATGATATTGACAATGAGTCAGAATTTGAAACCAAAGAAAGTTGCAGACAGAAATGCGGTAAACTGGTTGAGAGAAGAAAACGTGCTGCTGGTGATATAAGATCTTGTGCAGTAGCAGCAGCAACAAAGAGACATAACTGTAAGAAAGCTGTGAGCAGTGATGGTTATGACATGTGTCTTATAAACATCAAGGGTCAGGACTTCCTGATGGAGAGTTGCGGAAAATCATCGCAATGTTGTTTCATGTTGGAGAAGGAAAGGCAAGTGCAGACAGTATGCTGCACTTACTGGATGTGAAAAACAATAGGTGAGTGTTGTAGAGACCTAAGAAACATACGGAGCCTATATACTTACATTATTTCTGTTAATTTAGAAATATATTTCTATTTCTTCTTTCAATAAACTGGCTGTATCCCACTGAAGTAGGGGGGCCCAAAAAGAAAAACAAAAGTTTCTCTTTTTAATTTTCATAATCTATACAGGAGAAGGGGTTACTAGCTTTTTCCTAGAAATCTTCTTTCTTTTAACAAACCGGCCGTATCCCACCGAGGCAGGGTGACCCAAAAAGAAACACGAAAGTTTCTCTTTTTAAATTTAGTAATTTATGCAGGAGAAGGGGTTACTAGCCCCTTGCTCCCGGCATGGCTTACGGAGGGAGAATTCTGTTCCACTTCCCCATGGAGATAACAGGAAATAACCAAGAACAAGAACTAGTAAGAAAATAGAAGAAAACACTTGCTTGTACATGTATGTGTAGTGTGACCTAAGTGTAAGTAGAAGTAGCAAGACGTACCTGAAATCTTGCATGTGTATGAGACAGAAAAAAAAAGACACCAGCAATCCTATCATCATGTAAAACAATTACAGGCTTCCGTTTTACACTCACTTGGCAGGATGGTAGTACCTCCCTGGGCGGTTGCTGTCTACCAACCTACTTTCTTACGTAATTATCTTTATATAAATATATTTCTAGGAAGGTAGGTAGTAGGTTGGTAGACAGCAACTGCCCAGGGAGGTACTACCGTCCTGCCAAGTGAGTGTAAAACGGAAGCCTGTAATTGTTTTACACGATGGTAGGATTGCTGGTGTCTTTTTTTTTTTTCTGTCTCATACACATGCAAGATTTCAGGTACGTCTTGCTACTTCTACTTACACTTAGGTCACACTACACATACATGTACAAGCATTTATATACACACCTCTCTGGGTTTTCTTCTATTTTCTTTCTAGTTCTTGTTCTTGTTTATTTCCTGTTATCTCCATGGGGAAAGGGAACAGAATTCCTCCTCCGTAAGACATGTGTGTTGTAAGAGGTTACTAAAATGCCGGGAGCAAGGGGCTAGTAACCTCTTCTCCTGTGTATATTACTAAATGTAAAAGGAAAAACTTTCGTTTCTCCTTTTGGGCCACCCCACCTCAGTGGGATGTGGCCGGTGTGTTGAAATAAAGAAAGAATTACCTAAGAACTCCGTGGGGAAGTGGAACAGAATTTTTCCTCCATAAGCAATGCATATTGTAAGAGGCAACTTTTTTTTAGGTCACCTTGCCTTGGTGGTATATGTCTGGTTTGTTGAAAAAAAAAATTACTTAAGAAAAACTATATGAATGGACGACAATAATATAATTAGAGCATGTATAATGGTGAATTTCATAGACTTTCATGCAATAGTATGTTTTGTGAAATGTGGGAGAAAGGAAATTGATATTGTGTGGTGAAAATATTCAGCAGGTTCCTAGTGCGGTGGAGGGTGAAGGAAGTGTTACTTACTCCAGCCCTTGCAGATGTACTTTAATACTTCTCCTAACTTTGTACAATTTCACACTATTACTTCTACTATATTACTACCACTACACAGTTATTGATTTGCAGTTTTTAAATATTCTGCATTAATAATTTTTTAACAAAACATTGTATTAAACTGAGGTAGGGCTGGCAATACACACACAATGAATCATTGTCACCATCACACATTCTTTACTTAAGTTTTTTGGGTCACCCTGCCTCGGTGGGAGACAGCCATCATGTAAAAAAAAAAAAATGTATATATATAATTTATTGTAAAATTCTTGAGGTCTGCATTTAGTTTTGCAAGGTCAGTCAAGTTTAAGGAAATATAATTGTGTTTTGACTTTATTTTGAGACTAGGTTCACATTGAACTTACATTGCCATACACTGCATGCATACCTATTGTTTAATATGGCTTCACATTTTGTAGGATATCACAACACTCCATGGCCAGTGAAGTGCCATTAAACCTTTATCAGACAATCTTTGAAGACCAAAAATGGCACTGGGACACCAAAGCCTTAAGATTGGTCATATCTCAACTTCAAGCATTTTGGTGCCAGCAGTCTGTTCGGTAAGACATACAGTATGTTTGTTATAATTGCGTGTATAGTGTTAAACATGTCTTATATTAGGCTCAATTGTTTGCTATCTTTCTTTCATCACTTTATGAATGGGGTAATAATGAAGCATGCTTTAAAAAAGACATTAAATGAAGGGTTTTGCCGATTAGCTTGAAACAAAAAGTACAGTGTTGTGATGGTAGTTTTTCTACATTTTTCCTGCAAAAAAGTTGACCTATTATCTCGTTGGGGCAGAAGATGGCACTCCTAAGGAGACTTGACCATTTCACTGTCTTTCATATACAGTAGATCCACTTTATTGACAGCACTGTCGCTCCGTTAGATTCATTTTAGCAGGGCCCCCTAGATATTTTTTGAAGGGAAAAATTTTGGGCCCTAGAATGAAAATGGGTTTTGTGTGTGAGGTGCACAGTAAAAAAAACACTTTTTCTTTATGCAGTTCATGAGGGAAAAGGAGACCTTTTACCTTTTGTGTTTGGGTTTTTTTTTTTAAAATGGCAACTTAAAGGGGTGTTTTTCTAGGTTTTTTTTGGTTTTTAAATTTGGTGTTTTTGGGATCAGTTAATAAAATGGAAAAAAAATACTAGAGAAAGGAGTGATTTCAGTTGGTTTTTTAAACCGAAAATGAGTTGAAGTAGGCCTCGAAGTGCCCGAAATACAACCTCCTCATTAGCGATGTATATTTTACCGAGACTGGACTTTTCGACAGGCCTCTGACCAGTATGATACCAAATAATGCATTAGGTTGATTTTTCTCTATTTGTTTATTACAATATACAGTAAAATCTGAAAAATTTAAAAATATCCAGAAATGTTATAAATGGTGCAAAGGTGATATTAAAAAAATATCAAAGAGGTTGACACAAAAACCCCCTGCCCTTATAGTATTCTCTTACTTAACGGAAATTATTTTTAATGTGGTCTTTGGACGGAACTGGTCATTAAATGAGGGGGGCGTATTACTTGATATTTGGCAAGGCTCAAGGGAAGGGTGGGGCCCTTTCCCTTTCCTCCCTCCCCCGTCTCTTTTTCGGGTTTTTTTCCCCGATCTTTTTCTTTTTGGGACGCATTTAAATTATGCCCCAAAATTTTTTTTTGTACAGTATTTTATTATCTGAGAAATAGGGTAAAGTTTTTTTTTTTTTGTTATAATAATTCAAAATGTAGGGAAAAGTTTCATGGGGGGGGGTAGTGGTTGCGATTAAAGAACAGTGGAAAAGGGTTTTTTAGGGGGAAAAAATGCTTACAGTGTTTTTTTTTGGACTGTTTTTAAAATTGGGAAATTTTTTGAATTTTGTGTAAAATTAGCCAAATTACCTAATTCTGTGCATGTTATAGGATAGTTCTGTTAGCTGAATGGGCTGTTTCTTGTACTTATTCAATAAAACAGAAGGCATACTAATGGCTAAGCTAAGAATCGGATCAAATTGAGCAATGGAAGTTCTTAAAACAGGACTCAAATGGGGCAAAATTGCCAATGCAATAATTTTGCTCAGATTGCCAACTTTGTGCTTGCGTAATTCTTAAACTTTCCTTCATATTTTGCATTTTTTGGTGTCATTGCCTTAGAAAAAGATTCTTTACCATTTCAGAAGATTTTTTTTTTTCTGTTTTGAAAAAATGTAAGGTTGATCAGAAGGTGATACAAGGTTTCAGTACTACTTTTCAAAGAATAAGCAACAGTTGTGTGAATAAACCTGTCAGGTTCTCTAGAGCATAGAGGGGCCAGCCTATGTGTAAGGCTATCATCATCCTTGATGGAACTGATGGGTATGGTTATTGCACAGAAGTAGGAAGGTAGAAGAGGCACAATATAGAAGTCGTGTTTTCCAGGAATAATGTGATTGTTCTGAGTGACTACAAGGGTAAGGGACATTGGCCTCCCATACTTGCTCATTGGGCAAAAATGTAGCAGTGAGGACGTTAGTGTACTCTCGAATCTGAACCAGGATGCCCTCTCTTGAGCATCTTTACCAGCAGCTGAAAGAAGAGCTTAGGGTTGCTAAGCTGGAGATATGGCGATTAACGGAGGAGAACAAGAGGATTCGTAGTAATCCTCCTGTTGTGAGTCCCCAGGTTAAGAGGGGAACTTGGTCAGTGGCCGGGCAACATGGAACAAAGCTGAGGTTAAAGAAGACTGTTGGAGAGGCAGAAACAACGAGGTACCAGAAGACTACTGTGGAAACTTCCAACCCATTTTCGGTGCTACCTGACGAATGTGGGTGTTCTACTAGGAATGTCACAACGAGCACCAAGGAAGCATTGGCAGACATGAGTGAGACATCCCTAGAAACCCCAACGAAGACCATCGAGAACGTCTTGACAAATTCCACAAGTGAAGGTGTAGTGCTACCTGACGAATGTGAGTCGACTACTGGGAACATCATGACAGACAACGCCAAGGAAGGTAAAAACATTGTTGTTGTTGTTGTTGGGGATAGCAAGATTAGGTACATGGATAGGGCATTCTGCTTGAAGGATAGGAGTAGGAGGCAGAAAGTGTGTTTTCCTGGGGCTGGGATGAAGGATATTGTTAGCCGTCTGGATGACATTGAGAGGTAATGGGAGCAATCCTATTATCTGTCTCAGTGCTGGAGGCAACGATGTTGGCAGACGTAGGAGTGAGGACCTGATTAGCAGGTATAGGTCAGCAATAGAGATAATTAGGAGGAAGGGTGGGAACTCTGCCATATGTGGTATTTTGCCAAGGAGAGGAGTTGGAAATGAATGGTTGTCCAGGGCAATTGGTGTCAATTGCTGGCTGGACAAATACTGTAAGGAAAATGCAGTAACATTCATTGACAACTGGGACCTCTCCTATGACAGAAATGACATGTATGCCAGGGATGGGGTTCATTTATCTAGGTTTGGGGTGGGAGCACTGGCCATTGCAGTGGAGGGAGCTGTTAGGTCTTTATACTAGGAATAGTTAGTGGTATGGGTTTTGGCAGGAAAACAGTGAAGTCCCAGTGTAGTAATATGAGTACTAGGAGAACTAGTAATAGGCAAAATGAGGTGGATATTGGAAATCCAGTGGCACTAGGTGACAAGGACAGTAATAGGTTTAGTGGAATAACAGAAAGGAGCAGGAAGGGTAAAGAGAAGGGAGGGTCCTTAAATATATATTACACAATATCACTGGCAAGACAGTGATGGAGTGAATGAAGGTGAAAGTTTTTCTTTTTTGGGCCACCCTGCCTTGGTGGGAATCAGCCAGTGTGATAATAAAGTAATAAAAATAAATAGTCGTAGTGCTAGGAATGAGATGGACGAGTTGAGATTAGTTGCTAGTGCAGGTAACATTATGTATTTGCCTTAACTGAGACGTGGTTCAATACGAAAAATCGGGACATGCCTGCAGAATGTCACATACAGGGTTTTAAATTGTTCCAAGTAGACAGAAGTATCGGGAAGGGGGGTGGGGTGGCACTGTATGTCCGAGATCGCTTGAACTGTTGCATAAAAACGGATATTAAGTCTGAAGTAACACATACAGAGTCTGTTTGGATAGAATTTTCAGAGGGACTTGAAAAATTGATTTTAGGTGTGATATACCATCCTCCAAACTTAGATAGGGACCAAGGGAGACTACTATGGGAGGAAATTGTTAAGGCCACAAGGCACGATAACGTAGTAATTCTAGGAGACTTTAACTTTAGTCATATTGATTGGAATTTCTTGACTGGGAATTTAGAATCAAACGACTTCTTAGAAGTAGTTCAGGATTGTTTTTTGAAGCAGTTTGTGACAGAGCCTACAAGGGGAAATAACCTGCTTGACTTGGTTTTGGCAAACAAGGAAACTCTTGTTAATAATTTACAAATTACGTACAGAGGAACTCGGCACAAGCAATCACAAATCAATTACCTTTAGCATTGAATGGAAGTATGATAGTAAGGATAATTCAGTACTTGTCCCAGATTTTCGCTTAGCAGATTACAATGAGCTTAGAGAACACTTATCATCTGTGGACTGGAGTAATGAAGAGAGCTATCAGTATGACGGCTTTCTTAACGCACTACATGTTGCCTAAAGGACATTTATCCCATATAAGGAAATTAGATCGAATAGAAATGACCCCAGATGGATGAATAATAGGCTCAGATATCTTTTAGGACAGAAAAAAGGAATTTATAGGAGCATTAAAAGAGGTGAGGGTCATCTTATGAATCAGTATATTGACATTAAAAGGGATGTTAAAAAGGGGATAAGAAAAGCTAAACGGGACTATGAAATTAAAGTTGCTAGGGATTCGAAAACTAACCCAAAAAGTTTTTTCCAGCTTTATAGAACAAAAGTTAGAGATAAGATAGGTCCCCTTAAAAATAACTCTGGGCATCTCACTGACAAGGAGAATGAAATGTGCTCTATTCTTAATAATTATTTTCTCTCAGTTTTCACTCAGGAAGACACTAACAATATCCCAGTAATTAATTTTTATAGTGGGCCTGATGATGATAAATTATGCAATGTCACAGTCACTTCCGAAATGGTTATCAAACAGATAGACTGGTTAAAGCAAAATAAATCCCTGGGCCCTGATGAACTTTTTTCAAGGGTTCTTAAAGAGTGTAAAATGGAACTTTGTGAACCATTGACTAATATTTTTAATATTTCTCTTCAAACAGGTGTAGTGTCTGATATGTGGAAGATGGCTAATGTAATTCCTATTTTTAAAGCAGGGGACAAGTTTTTACCGTCAAATTACTGCCCAATAAGCCTAACCTCAATTGTAGGCAAATTACTAGTCATTTATAGCTGACAATATAAGAAGCCATCTCGATAAGCACAGCTTGATTAATGATACTCAGCATGGATTCACGAGGGGTCGTTCCTGCCTAACTAATTGATTAACCTTCTTCAGTAAAGCGTTTGAGGTCGTTGATCATGATAAAGAATTCGATATTGTTTATTTAGATTTTAGTAAGGCTTTTGATAGAGTACCACACCAGAGACTAATAGAGAAAGTGGCAGCTCATGGCATTGGGGG